CCGGCCCCGCCCCCACACTCTGACTCCAGCCCCGCCCCGCCCCTTCCGAGCAGCAGCCCCCTCCGTGGGCCGAGACCCCATGGAGTCCATCCCTCGTCCGTCCGTCCAGTCGTGGTCCCCTGCTAGACTTGGTGGTGACTTAGGTATCTTCGTTTCACAGAACAAGGCACAACTTCTTCAGTCTTGTTGTTCCCGAGCCCGGCTCTGTAGCCCAGGCTGGCCTCGAACTCTGTTCCTCCGATGGTTTTCAACCCAGCCTCCTGAAGCCTGACAAAGCTGGGCGCCAGTGATCACGCCTGTCATCCAAGCTACTCGGGAGGCTGGGGTCTGAAGATCGCGGTTCAAGGCCAGCGCGGGCAGGAAAGTCCGAGAGACTTTGATCTACCGTAATCCACCAGAAAACTTGGGAGTGGCGCTGTGGCTCCAGAGGCTTGAGCTGAAGAGTTGAGGGACAGCATCCAGGCCAGAGCTCGAGCCCCACGACCGATCCCCCCAAAAAATAATTCCCAAATTAGCACGTGGATGATTTGGATGGATGGACGGACGGATGGATGATTTGGATGGATGGGTGGATGGATGGATGATTTGGATGGATGGACGGACGGATGGATGATTTGGATGGATGGATGGGTGATGGATGATTTGGATGGATGGATGATTTGGATGGATGGGTGATGGATGATTTGGCTGGATGGATGATTTGGATGGATGGGTGGATGGATGGACGGATGGATAGATGATTTGGATGGATGGGTGGATGATTTGGATGGGTGATTTGGATGGAGGGATGATTCGGATGGATGGGTGGATGAAATTTAACAGGGGAAAATTGTGTTGTGATATAAAAAGTTACTGCCTTAATCTGCTTCATATTTTAAAGGAAAAAAGCAACTTGTATTCACCTTGTTGAATCTTGATTTCAAAGGAAGATACAATCTATAGCTACGATTTCCTTTCAGGAAAGTCTCTAAGTGGGAACTCGTTCTGTGGTCAGACTTGTTTACGTGTGTTTACCCCGCTCCAATCACAATTTAATCCAGCCTCTGCATTTCCCCCAACTGACCCACTTCCCTCCGTTCCAGTAAAATCTCTCCACTTTCACAATTCACAAAAGGTAAAATTTGTGCTTTAAACTATTTGAGCTTCGAGCCGGGCACCGGAGGCTCAGGCCTGAGGCTGAGATCTGAGGACCGCGGTTCAAAGCCAGGCCGGGCAGGAAAGTCCGAGCGGCTCGGATCTCCAAGGAACCGCCAGAAAACCGGAAGTGGTGCTGGGGCTCCGCGGAGCGCGCTGCCTGTCTCCCGCGTCTCCGACATCCCCAGGCATCCTCGGATCTCGAGGGCCCG